GCTGTTTATAATTAATTTATATGAAATAGTACAATATGCATTTCTTAAGGTTTTGGTTAAGAACATCTATGAAATCACCGAAAGTATTCACATATTTAATTCACATATTTTAGTAAATACTTAAACCATTATGACATGTTAAGATTGTCGTTTTTTTACATTGAATCTTATTTGTTAATAATTTAATTTAATTAAAAAAATTTTGTTCATTATTATTTATAGATGTGTTTCTTTTAAATTATGATTTTAATACAGATGCTCCGTAATTGGTACACATACCCTATCAGCATACGACAGATTTTACGAGGTTCTGGTATTAGCGAAAAAGGTGTGCTTCGAATTTTTCATAATGAAAGATATCATCCATATCCCCTATTACTTCATCAGGAGTTGCACGGTTCGGATTATGAAAACCGCGTTCGACTTGGCTAGTGGTTCTTGCATTAAATGCAAAATGATGGTCTTTTTTTACAAAACCTGTTATTTACCGATGAAGCGATATTTACTAATCGCGGGCAAATTAATTTGAGAAACATGCACTACTGGGCATCAGAAAATCCTCACTGGATGAGAGAAGTTGACCATCAACGGCAATGGGGCGTTAATGTTTGGTCTGGCATACTCGGCAATCAATTAATTGGATCATATTTTATTAATGAACGATTAACGGGATAAAAATATTCGAATTTCTTACGTGATATTTTACCAACTTTATTAGAAAATGAACCATTAAGTATCCGCACAGACATCTGGTACCAAGATGTTGGTTGCCCCGCACATTATGCACATGTAGCAATGCAAGTGCTGGACAGACAATTCCCCAATAGATGGATCGGTCGTGGTGGAGAATTTCTGTGGCCACCACGTTCACCAGATTTAACGCCGCTAGACTACTTTCTATGGGGTACATTAAAAGATATGGTGTATCGTGAACCAACAACAACACCAGAGAATATGAAAGAACGAATTCGTGAAGCATGCAGTATGCTTGCTGCAGAAATAATTCACAGTGCAGTTTCCTCGTTTATTAATAGATTACATCGGTGTATTAATGTGAATGAACACCATTTCGAACACCTACGTTAGTGAATGGAAGGAGGCCTAGAAAAATGTTTGCTGGTATTGAATCTCCAACTTGATATTATGCACAAACCATTTTCAAGAAACAAAGTGAAATTATACGTTAATTATTATTACGTTTACGGATAATAAAGGTCAATCCTTTTTTTATTCAAAATTTAACGCTTTTCGATATTTTGGCATAAAAAATATAGCATTCTACTTAAAACAACAAAGTTGACCTTCAAATCTCCCAAAATGTCTGAGTTACAAAAACAATATATATGCATTACATAATGTATCCCTCCAAACCATACAACTTTTCTATAAAAAATTTTTCCGTATAATGCATACGTTAGAAGTTATTCAGGGTAAACAATTTGCGTGGACCACCCTTATATACCTATATATATATATATATATGTACATTCATAAAAATACATGACAAAATATCGTCTTTGTCCACTCGTTCTGTATTCCGAAAATCTGTATTTGGGAATTCCTGATAACAGACGTTCTACGTATTGTATACGTCGCCACTTATACGTCGGCCAAGTAACGTCTACCAACCATCAATTTTCGCCCCTGTAGGCCCGAAGAAACCTGTGCAGCGCACTTGTGCAGCGTACGTAATATACGAGCACCACAAACTTTACGTTCTGGTCTAATAACGGTTGATAAGCTGGAACTGTCCATCGGACGTGTCCATTTATTAAATTACCCATCTCGATCCTTTACGACGCGGGCTTCGGTCGGGTGTATTCTATCACGAATCCGGTCGTTTCGCGAGGTCAAATGGACACCATGAAACAACGTGGCGTATTACTCGAGTAAGCAGCCACGCAGCACCGAATTTACGAACGTACGTGCGCCAGTGGGATCACCAGGCCGTATTTACTCGAAGTCTACCGTCTCCCATGCCGGCAAATGATCGTTCCTTTAGAAAGTTTCATATTTACGAGTAAAATATGTCTCTGGCGCGAATGTACACTAATTCATAAACGAAGGTTCAAGAATGCCGCGCGCGCTAACTGCAAGAGGTGTACGAAGGCTGGAGAAAGATGAAACGACGGAGGAAGGAATGGAGAAGTTGAGACTGCGTTGCCTGGGAACTCCATAGATGCGTTTCGCCCTATGAACACCCTAGTGGAGGGTTCAGGAAGGGCCTACACCGACGGTATCATAGGGATCAAGGGTTCACCTGGGTATTGAAACGTCGGTTCGTAACAATGGACGATATAGGATCCGACCGTAGCGATCCCGCCGTCCTTACGTTCTCTTTATAACCCCTCCCTCTTTCTCTCGTAGCCTTTATTCTCAGCGAAGAAAACTTTTCCTATCTATGACCGCTCTCCGACGTTGCCTCTTCAAAGGCAGCTCTCACGGCCCTGCTGAGAAGTGACCGATCTTGCGAGCGGCGCGCTTAAATTCGATAAATTTTATGGACGGACTTTTCAGACCGACCCTTTCGCGGATCGTTAGCGTCGATTACTTTGAACTTTACGCCGAGTAGAGTCGCGATTTAGTAAATTTATTTATATCGAGATTAAACTCCGATTCACTTGCCTTCGATAATGGTACATTATTATAAGTGTTAACGCGAGATATTGATGTAATGATATGTGCAGTGTTATCTTGAATATTTAGGATACTCTAACGTTGACAATTTAAAGTGTTACGTACCCCCATGTCTAAAGAAGGAATCATTCAACTAGTCATGATTGTGAGTTGAATAAGTAAAACTTCAAGGTGGTGTCGCACGATGTACTTCTGGAGCAACGACTCATTCGGTATAAACATTTTCTTATGTATCATTTTTCCTGGACGGAACTTTTATCAATTGATTAGTATAGTTTCATCACAGACGCGTGGAAATTAATAAACTCAAATGATAAAAAAGTAAAAAACAAATTCATTTCCGAAAATTTTACATTAGGTTCAGTACAGTGGACTCTAACTATATTGCCATTGTCGGGGCTAAGTTCTGATGTCATAGCCTCGGCCTCAGCGCCTGCGCAAAAGCTACATGTGCTGGTGCGCCGGCGTACGCAACGTGGTGGGAGAGCGAATTTGTGTGCTCGAAAGTACGTGTGAAGGGGAAGTGCCTCGTATGGCAATATGTTTAGTAGCAACATAGTTAGAGTCCATTGTATAACTAGTAAATACGTACACAGAGTGAATCAGTACTTCGTGTTAATTCTTCAGTTATTAGATAACAGATCAATACATTTTGGTATACTTATTGTTAAAGGCCCATTTACATGTTTAAATAATTCACACATACTAATTTCTGCATTACACGTTCAGTCTACCTGTACAGTTCTTTTATATGTATATACGTAAAGAACAAACTATAATTATAATTAGTCATTACAAATTAAATAATGAAAAAAGTAATGGTATTTATTTACCAGGGGGTTAGTTTCCAGATACACGCAACGATTTGTTTGCGTAAATGTGAATGCACATGTAAGTTTACGCAAATCATGTGGTCGTCTAAGCAAGTCTTTAGGTCATAGATAAAATACGTTACCACGTGCTGATTAGTAACATAGTACATTAAAGTGTAATGAAATGTTTAAAAACATGTTCATTAGTATACTGAAACAACAGATACAATCTAAAAATAAATATTTAACTATTTAAAATATGAGCTTATAATTACTAGACTGTGAATTTTACGCATTTATAACACACACGATTCTTTAAAATAAATTGTAGTAACCAATTGAATAAAGTATAATGAGCTGTTTTGTTTATATGAAACCTGATGGAACTGATAGTAAATAAATTTAGATAAAATATAATTAAAAATTAGATAATAGAACCTCATAGTAAACAAATTTTTGTTTAATTTAAATATCCTGAACTTGTAAATACATATTTCATTCACGTTAACTTATTATAATTTCTAATCTTTAACTCAAAGAAATGGTCAAGTCATGAATAAATTTATGACAACAGGTTGCTTTTACTATAATTTCGGAATATATCTGTAAAACGACTGCAAGCTATGATGAGGGCACGCTAAATTTAATAATTACGCACCTTTGCAATGAAAATACGATTGAAGACGAAAATATTCGTAGAATCTTGAATTACTTTCTAACAACGAATGTTGCGAAGTGTTCGCGAAAAATGTTGAAGTTGGAGTATTTCACGAACGTCGCTTTCCGAAGAATAAATTAATATTATCGGAATAGTTGAAATAAAATGAATCGACACTGGTGTCGTGTGTAGAAATTGTATTTGATATCTGAGAACGCACTAGACTGACGAAGTGGTCTCTACTAATGTTGGATACAGAATGATGTCTTGTTGTCGCAGTACTGAGAATATCTACAGGGTTGTGTGTGACTTGAGTGGTGTGTTGGAGTGGTGGATGTATTTGTATATGATTGGTGCTCTGAGTTGGTGTGGGTGTGGCAAAATTTGTCTGTAATGTTGGAAGGGAGAACGATGCGCTAAAGTTCCCCTTCTCGAAGTAGACCTGGAGTTCCGGGAATCGATGGTCAGGAAAAACCGAAAATTAATAAAAATATGAGTGTCCTGCACGTGGTTTGCAGCTGTCCAAGAACCCCAGGTGATGGTCATAGTCGACGTCTAACGGCAATTTGAAAACAAAAGGCCGCGGGTCGGTCCTTGGCTGAATGCGCTGGCAAAAATTCCCTGCCATAAATGACCCGATTGCTATAGCCCCGAGTTTGCTATAAGCACGTTTCAACAAACCGCCCCCCTTGACCAGCAATGGTCAATAAGTGATAAATATAAAGTAGCCAGCGGAATGTATGTGTGTTTGTCAGTGTAACTTATTCCTAAGTACTTATAAATCTACTGTACAAGTGTTAAATTATGTACATATGATACTGTACAGAGAACAAAAAACGGTGGTACGAATATAATTGTATGTACATGTGAGATGTTAAACATATATACATGAACTAGTCTAACGGTAGCAGTGATAATTTTTTCAAGCTACGCTTATATTCGCCGGCAACGGTTTTGATCGTCACGACTCGTGTGATATGGTCGTCACCAGGATGTAACGCAACTATCCTGCCTAGGGCCCAACATAATGGTGGTACATTGTCCTCATGTACGATGACCAGTGCACCCTCCTTGACCTCAGTTGGCGTGGATGTGTGCCATTTTCTGCGAACTGTTAATTCGTGTAGATAGTCCTTGTGCCAACGTGTCCAAAAATGTTCTTTCATTCGTTGCACATGTTGCCACATCGATAATTTGGTGGACGGAACGGTAGCAACGCTTGACTCATTGATACTTGTAATCAAGTCACCGATTAGGAAATGTCCAGGTGTGAGTGCGGTAAAATCGTTTGGATCGGTAGATAAAGGAATAAGTGGGCGGGAATTTAAGATGGCTTCAATTTCCGTTAAATACGTTGTCATGGCTTCATACGTTAGTAAAGTTTTTCCGATTGTACGGAATAAATGACGTTTTACTAGTTTAACAGTTGCTTCCCATAGACCACCAAAATTAGGCGCGCGTGGCGGAATAAAGTGCCACGTTATGTTATTATTTATTGCGTACTGTTGGATGTTACTATCTTTAATGGCGATTTCGAATGAATTATGAATTTCACGCAATTCTCGATCTGCGCCAACAAATGTTTTGGCATTATCCGAATAAATGTCGGACGACTTTCCTCGTCGCGCGAAGAACCTTTTAAGTGACGCTAGAAAAGAATCTGTGGTGAGATCACCAACCAATTCAAGATGAACTGCCTTTGTAGAGAAACATACAAATACTGCTACATAAGCTTTCACTGTTTTGGTGTTGCGAACGCGTTTTTCTTTAATATATAATGGACCGCAATGATCGATGCCAGTTATTAAAAATGGACGGTTTAAGGTAACCCGATTTTTGGGTAAATTTCCCATTTGATATCGCGAAATCGTTGGATTCGCGCGATGACACGGTACGCAGGTACGGATGCAATGTTTGACTGATTGCATAGCATTGATGGGCCAATAGATTTGTCGAATCGCGTTTAAAGTGCCTAAAACACCTGTGTGATAATGTCGCCAATGCATATGACGAATAACTAGTGTAGTAAAATGGTGTTTAGCTGGCAATAATATAGGGTGCTTTTTATCGTAAGTGGTGGTTGCATGTTTAATTCGTCCACCTACGCGTAAAATACCATTCTCGTCTATAAAAGGGTTTAACATGCGTAATTTGCCATTGTAATATTGTTTGGAATTTGATAAAAGTTTTAGGTCATCAGCAAATTCTGTATTTTGCACGAACTTTATGAGTCGTTGTCGTGCGATTTGCAATTCTTCTACAGTAAGTAAGCTTGTCCGTTTTGGCTTATTAGTGAGATTGTAGTAAAATCGTAGACAATATGCAGTTGTACGTTCTAACCGCCCCATTGACGAAAACCTCTCAATAAATGTATCAACCGTAGTACCTAACGTGGCAAGGGATATTACGGTTCGACGCTCCGGCACTTCGACAGGTAACAATGCAATAAATGGCCAATTGTCCTCAGATTTTCGTAACCATTGCGGACCGGTAAACCAAGAATTATTGCTAAGAAATTCAGTTGGAGACACACCTCGTGACAAACAATCAGCCGGATTGTCTTGTGATGGGACATGACGCCATTGAACCTTATCGGTTGATTGTTGTATTTCACTAACACGGTTAGCAACAAAGACCTTTAATGTGTGAGGAGAAGCGTTAATCCAATGTAATACGATTGTTGAATCTGTCCAAAATATATGTTGATCTATTTTTAATTTGAGGGAACCTATTGTAGCGTTAAATAATTTAGTCAATAAAACTGCAGCACATAATTCTAACCGTGGTAAGGATTGAACTTTAAGAGGTGCAACTCTGCTTTTAGAACAAATTAAATATGTCGAGCAATTATTAGAAATATCTATAGAACGCATATATAAACATGCTCCGTATGCCTTTTCACTAGCATCACAGAATCCATGCAATTCTAGACGAACATGTTGATCACAGATAATTCTACGGGGCATTGATAAATCTTTAATAATACCTAACTGTGATTCGATAATTCTCCATTCTGAATGTAATGTTTCAGGAATAGACTCGTCCCAATTAATTTTTAATTGCCAGAGTTTCTGCATTAAAATTTTAGTTTTTACGATAATTGGTCCAAGTAACCCTAATGGATCAAAGAGTTGCGCGACACGGGACAGGATGGCTCGCTTTGTTACCTGCCGCAGTGGTCCGCGATCTTTTACCGTATAACCAAGGGTATCATATACCTGGTTCCAGTATAAACCCAACGTTTTCCTAAGTTCATCGGGAACGATGGTCATGAATGTATTTTCATTATTAGCTGTAACTGATTGTAATAACCGTTGGTCGTTCGATGACCACTGTCTCAATTCGAATCCACCCTTTTTGGTTAATTGAACAAGCTGATCGCGAATTGAAACAACATCTTCATACGTATCTGCTCCCGTTAACAAATCGTCAACATAAAAATCTGATTTGAGTATTTTGGCTGCTATAGGATACTGCTCGCCTTCGTCATTTGCTAATTGATGAAGTGATTTAATTGCTAAGTATGATGCCGATGCGGTACCATAAGTTACTGTGTTCAAGAAATACGTGGATATCGGAAGTGTGGAGTTTTCGCGCCAAAGTATCTTATGAAAATGTCGATCTTCAGACGCTAACCTAACTTGCCGATACATTTTCGCAATGTCAGCAGTTAAAACGTACTTATGCACTCTAAACCTAGTAATAATGGAAAAAAGATCTTCCTGAATGGTTGGTCCGGTCATTAAAATATCATTTAATGATATGCCCGATGAAGTTTGCGCCGATGCATCGAACACAACTCGAATTTTCGTCGTTAAGCTATCTTCCTTTTGGACTGCATGATGCGGAAGATAATATCCTTCTGATTTAGTGCAAAATTCAATCTTAGTCATGTGACCAAGGGTTTCATATTCACGCATGAAATTAGAGTAATGTTCGTGCATAGTTTTATTACGCTGAAATGATCTTTCTAACGATAAAAATCGTTTCATGGCTATATTGTAAGAATCACCTAGACCATCAACGGTGCTTTTAAAGGGCAATTTTACTACGTATCTTCCCGATTCTGTCTCTCGTCGAGTGTTATTTACAAAATGGTTTTCGCAAGCTCGTTCCTCGTCAGAAATCACTTTGACTTGTGGTGTTTCTTCGAGTTCCCAAAATTTACTTAGCTGAACATCCAATGAGTTCAATGTTAGATTGCAAACAGTCTTCTTAATTTGCTTAGAACTGGGGCTCTCGCCAACCACTAACCATCCTAGCAATGTTTTACGTAGCATGATTGTGGGATGTGCTAATTGAATTTGTCCTACACTAAGCAAATGCCAGAATAATCGTGCTCCAAGCAAACCATCAATTTCCGCCTTTCTATGAAATTCAGGATCAGCAAGTGGCACGTTCTTAGGAATTTCTAAGAAATTGCAATTTATATTTTCATCCGGCACAGGGTCAGTTATTTGATTTGCAAGAAGAAATGTTAATTCAGTCATGAAGTTAGTTGTGCGGGATTGAATACGAGCCTTCGTGAAGTATTTGATTTCAGAATGCATGCGATTCATCCCTGTTACTGGAATATGAGTTTTATGCAATGCTAAATTTAATCTTTTGGCAAATCTGTATGTCAGAAAGTGAGATTGTGCGCATGAATCTAATAACACTCGACAACGATGAGATTGTCCATTGTTGTCAATAACGTCTATAAGTGCGGTGGATAATATAACGTGAGAACCCGTAATGTTATTTAAACACGTAACGTTAACACGACTGGTTGAAGGTTGTGGTTCGAATGGAGCATCAGTGTGCAATAATGTATTGTGCTGTTTCTTGCACACTCTACAACCACTACTTTTGCACGTTGGTACTGAATGACCCTTCTTTAGGCAATTAAGACATAATCGATTGTCTATCGCAAGTTTTGTACGTTGTGACACTGAAATTCCAGTAAATTTGTCGCAATTATAAATTAAATGAGGACCATTACAAACAGGGCACGATGCATGTCCGACTGTGTGCACTCTCTGAGGACTCGCGATATTATTTTGTATAGGTCGCGGTACGGAATGAAATTGTGGATTTCGTGGTTTAAAAACTTCGACGCGACGCGTGTTAGCTGCTGGACCCGATAGCTCTAAATCGTGACAACGATTATGCAAAAATTTACATAATTCATACAGACTTGGAAACACATTTTCACGAGTATGCTCTTTCCATTTTAAATTTGTATCTTGATCTAGTCTGGATAAGCATAAAAATATTAATAACGTGTCCGCTGTTGGCTGTTGCAGTGTTTTCAACGCCCGATAATGTGATTTTAAATCAGATAAGAATGGTCTTAAATTCTGGTGCGTTACTTTCGTAATTTGTGGCAAACTAAACAACGCGCGTACGTGATTAGCAACGATCACTGCTGGTTTATTATATTGTTCCTCAAGTAATTCCCAAGCAGCTCTGTAATTACCAGCTGAATTTTCTAGCGATTGAATTAAACCCGCCGCTTCACCACGCAAACACGAACGCAAATACATTAGTTTTCGGCAGTCAGTTAGTCTAACATTATCGTCTACGGCAGATTTGAATTGATCAGCGAATCCCGGCCATTCTTCATAACATCCATGAAAATAAGGCAAATGTAATTTTGGAAGGCTTACATCGTTTTCAAGCCCTTCTACATTCGACGGCGTATTGCTTAACCCACGCTCAGGGTTTGTTTGTGAAATGTTAGGTGGTTGATGTACCGATTGCAATAGTTTTTGTGCTTGAGATATATAACTAAGGTACGAATTTTTCAATTCAACTCGTTCCTTCATTAACTCTCCCGTTTCATCTGTAGCATCTAAATCTCCTTGAGATTTCGTAAACGACGCGAATTCTGCAGATAACTCAGTTAATCGATTTTGAATTTCTAAGTCTTGTGTATTGGGATCACAACTGTCAATAAAATGTTTAAACATTAAGACTTCAAATTTGAAAGATGCACGCTTCATTGTAAGCGCGCGAATGCGATCTTCCGTTACTGGAGCCATAATAACGTATCACGGTTTATGCACGGAACACGGTAAAAAACAGGATAGCACTTGACCACAGTAAACTGAGTAGTACGTTACCGTTCCGCCGTTTCCAAAGTTGTTGTTCGATGGCTCCTTCTGGATGCTGACTCCCAAATACGCTGCTGCTGCTGCTGCGTTGAATGTTTGAAGGCAGCTTCCTTCTTGGTGGCTTTCAAAGAATCTGCGTATCAGCTTCTGGATTCGTGGTCTGATGACTGCTCCGCAAGAGTCCCACTGGATGTAGTTGCTGAGAAGCTGGAATGATGATTCCCAGGCGATGATGCAACGATTGAATTCGGAATACAGGTTGGAATTGTTGTTTCCACAGCTGCTGTATCCGGCTCGAAGGACCAAAATG